TGGCTCATTATGGCTCGTTATGGCTCGTTATGGTTCGTTATGGTTCAATCTCTCGTCGCTGTCTGTTTTTATACTGTCCCATTTCTGTTTGATTGTAAAACCAATAAATTGCAATAAAATGTGAAAACTTTGGTTTGTGTTTATTTTTCTTGAATAGTGGATTTGAACATGAGCCACGGTCCTTATGGTTCTAACCAGGTTCTAACGGGACCGAGGACCTTATGGTTCTAATGGTTCTAGCGGGACCGAGGACGGTGAGACTCTGAGGCTGGACTTTATTCATGTCTAGATGTAGACTTTAGAGACTCTGATCCTGTGCAGCAGGAACTCAAACATCTACAAGTCACTGACTATAGTAATAAAGTGCAGCAGGTGGTGTAGCCTGCTCTCTCTCTCTGGTCCCTCTCTGGTCCTCTCTCTGGTCTCTCTCTCTGGTCTCTCTCTCTGGTCCCTCTCTGGTCTCTCTCTGGTCCCTGGTCTCTCTCTCTGGTCCCTCTCTCTGGTCTCTCTCTCTGGTCCCTCTCTCTGGTCTCTCTCTGGTCCCTGGTCTCTCTCTCTGGTCCCTCTCTCTGGTCTCTCTCTCTCTGGTCTCTCTGGTCCCTCTCTCTGGTCCCTGGTCTCTCTCTCTGGTCCCTCTCTCTGGTCTCTCTCTCTGGTCCCTCTCTCTGGTCTCTCTCTGGTCCCTCTCTCTGGTCCCTCTCTCTGGTCTCTCTCTGGTCCCTGGTCTCTCTCTCTGGTCCCTCTCTCTGGTCTCTCTCTGGTCTCTCTCTGGTCTCTCTCTGGTCCCTCTCTGGTCTCTCTCTCTCTGGTCCCTCTCTGGTGTCTCTCTCTGGTCCCTCTCTCTGGTCTCTCTCTGGTCCCTCTCTCTGGTCTCTCTCTCTGGTGTCTCTCTCTGGTCCCTCTCTCTGGTCTCTCTCTCTGGTCTCTCTCTCTGGTCTCTCTCTCTGGTCCCTCTCTCTGGTCCCTCTCTCTGGTCCCTCTCTCTGGTCTCTCTCTCTGGTCCCTCTCTGGTCTCTCTCTCTCTCTGGTCTCTCTCTCTGGTCCCTCTCTCTGGTCTCTCTCTCTCTCTGGTCTCTCTCTCTCTGGTCCCTCTCTCTCTCTCTGGTCCCTCTCTCTGGTCTCTCTCTCTCTCTGGTCTCTCTCTGGTGTCTCTCTCTGGTCCCTCTCTCTCTTCTCTCTCTCCGGTCTCTCTCTCTGGTCTCTCTCTCTGGTCTCTCTCTCTGGTCTCTCTCTCTCTGGTCTCTCTCTCTGGTCCCTCTCTCTGGTCTCTCTCTCTCTCTGGTCTCTCTCTCTCTGGTCCCTCTCTCTCTCTCTGGTCCCTCTCTCTGGTCTCTCTCTCTCTGGTCTCTCTCTCTCTGGTCTCTCTGGTGGTGTTGCTGCTGGTGTGGAGCTGCTTTCTCTGGGTGATGTCTGCAGAATCTGATTGGTTCAGACCATTTTCTCTGCTCTGGTTCAGGGTGAAATTCTGAACACTTTATAATAATAATAATGCATCAAACTTATATAGCGCTTTTTTGGACACTCAAAGACTCTTTACAAAACACATAGAAATAAACTTTGAAAAACAAAATGAAGGAAAGGCTGAAACAGGGTTGGTTTTTAGGAGAGATTTAAAGTTCTGTAGTGAGTCTGAGGTTCTGACGGGTTGAGGGAGTGAGTTCCAGAGAGTGGGGGCAGCTGCAGCGAAGGCTCGGTCCCCCAAGGTTCAGTGTTTAGTCCTGAGGGAGTGAGGCGGAGGGAGGGACAGTGATGATGGAGGAGGTCAGTTATGGAGGACCAAAAATGACTAAAGTATAAATAAATAAATAAATACAGGAATATATTAATAAATACATTCATTTTGGACAATAAAAACTAAATATTTACATTGATATGCTAAATATTACTCTGAAATCAAATAAATATACTTTTATTTAGGTTATTTATCAATATCTATTTTTTCCTTTATTTATTTATCCATTTATTGCATATATTTATGTTTTTCTACATTTCTTCATGTATTTATTTATGTATTTCTACATTTCTTCATTTATTTATTTATGTATTTCTACATTTCTTCATTTATTTATGTATGTATTTCTACATTTCTTCATTTATTTATTTATGTATTTCTACATTTCTTCATTTATTTATTTATGTATTTCTGTGTTCCTGTATGCTAATTAGGTGGGCGGTGCTGAACTCAATCTAGAACAGGATTGGTTAGGATTGCGTGAACTCTGGTCTCGATCATTCCTGCCTCACATTACGGTACTCTGTTAGCTAGCTAGAGATCCTCTGTGCACTTTTGTGTGGTATGATGGCAGTTTCGAATGTAAGTTTTTTAGGAGCCATTGCTCATCAATTAAGAGCATTAGCAAATGATGTTAATGATGTTGAGCATAATGCACCTGAGGACTATCTACTCTTTCGGCTGGACAGACTATTAGATGTTTTAGTTCATCACAGTGCTGACCCTGAGGAAGACTTTGATGCAACTGTGCTGGACGCTCTTCAACAAGCAGCAGCTTCACATCCTCTCACAAACCGAGAAGGCTAAAGCCAAGCGTACATCGGACCGGCAACTGATTATATCCGTCGCATATGAGTTTCTGCCCCGCACACATCGACAATGTGACGAAAACGGGCAACTCCCAGTATCAGACCAGTCTCGGGAATAACAGCGCGTACATCGACAGCAACTGGCCTCAACTACAGTGTGTTTTCTGACATAAACTGTTGCGGGCTCGCAATACACGCAATACACGCAATACACGCAATACACGCAATACACGCAATACACGCAATACACGCACGCTGTCGGACATCGGGTCATATCTCCGAAACTGAGGACAACTAGTTGCCGAAAAGTAGAACACGGGCAACTGACTGAAACTGGAGACCGACTGATCATCTCCAGTTGTAAGAGCGCTCACATCGACCGATTTCGGCAACTGATCATCTCCATCGTCTCCTCTCAGTTGCCAAAAGCCGCCTTGCAACTAGTTGTCCCCAGTTTCTCTGTCGATGTACGCTAGGCTTAACTTTGCTTCTGTCTGGTTGCCCTACTGCCCACCAATCATTGAGTTCAGCACCGCCCACCTAATTAGCATACAGGAACACAGAAATACATAAATAAATAAATGAAGAAATGTAGAAATGCATAAATAAATAAATGAAGAAATGTAGAAATACATAAATAAATAAATGAAGAAATGTAGAAATACATAAATAGATAAATGAAGAAATGTAGCGACACAGAAATACATAAATAAATAAATGAAGAAATGTAGAAATGCATAAATAAATAAATGAAGAAATGTAGAAATACATAAATAAATAAATGAAGAAATGTAGAAATACATAAATAGATAAATGAAGAAATGTAGCGACACAGAAATACATAAATAAATAAATGAAGAAATGTAGAAATACATAAATAAATAAATGAAGAAATGTAGAAATACATAAATAAATAAATGAAGAAATGTAGAAATACATAAATAAATAAATGAAGAAATGTAGAAATACATAAATAAATATATGCAATAAATGGATAAATAAATAAAGGAAAAAATGTAGATATTGATAAATAACCTAAATAAAAGTATATTTATTTGATTTCATAGTAATATTTAACACATCAATGTAAATATTTAGTTTTTATTGTCCAAAATGAATGTATTTATTAATATATTCCTGTATTTATTTATTTATTTATTTATTTATACTTTAGTCATTTTTGGTCCTCCATGGTCAGTGAGGTCAGAGGGGGGCAGGTTATGGAGGGACTTATAGGTGAGGAGGAGGACCTTGTATTGGATGCGGTCTGGAACAGGAGCCAGTGGAGTCGTTTGAGGACAGGGGTGATGTGGTCTCTGGAGCGGGTGTGGCTGAGCAGGCGGGCGGCAGAGTTCTGGATGTATTGTAGTTTTTGAAGATGAGTGGAAGGGAGAGCGAAGAGGAGGCTGTTGCAGTAATCCAGTCCGGAGGTGATGAAGGCATGAACCAGTATTTCAGCAGAGGATCGAGAGAGGGAGGGGAGGAGGCGAGAGATGATGTCTTGGAGATGAGGTTAATGTGGGGTCTAAAGGAGAGGGTGGAGTCCATAATAACACTGAGGTTAATGTGGGGTCTAAAGGAGAGGGTGGAGTCCATAATAACACTGAGGTTAATGTGGGGTCTAAAGGAGAGGGTGGGGTCCATAATAACACTGAGGTTAATGTGGGCTCTAAAGGAGAGGGTGGGGTCCATAATAACACTGAGGTTAATGTGGGGTCTAAAGGAGAGGGTGGGGTCCATAATAACACTGAGGTTAATGTGGGCTCTAAAGGAGAGGGTGGGGTCCATAATAACACTGAGGTTAATGTGGGCTCTAAAGGAGAGGGTGGAGTCCATAATAACACTGAGGTTAATGTGGGGTCTAAAGGAGAGGGTGGGGTCCATAATAACACTGAGGTTAATGTGGGGTCTAAAGGAGAGGGTGGGGTCCATAATAACACTGAGGTTAATGTGGGCTCTAAAGGAGAGGGTGGAGTCCATAATAACACTGAGGTTAATGTGGGGTCTAAAGGAGAGGGTGGAGTCCATAATAACACTGAGGTTAATGTGGGGTCTAAAGGAGAGGGTGGAGTCCATAATAACACTGAGGTTAATGTGGGGTCTAAAGGAGAGGGTGGGGTCCATAATAACACTGAGGTTAATGTGGGCTCTAAAGGAGAGGGTGGGGTCCATAATAACACTGAGGTTCATGTGGGGTCTAAAGGAGAGGGTGGAGTCCATGATAACACTGAGGTTAATGTGGGGTCTAAAGGAGAGGGTGGAGTCCATAATAACACTGAGGTTAATGTAGGGTCTAAAGGAGAGGGTGGAGTCCATAATAACACTGAGGTTCATGTGGGGTCTAAAGGAGAGGGTGGAGTCCATGATAACACTGAGGTTAATGTGGGGTCTAAAGGAGAGGGTGGAGTCCATGATAACACTGAGGTTAATGTAGGGTCTAAAGGAGAGGGTGGAGTCCATAATAACACTGAGGTTAATGTAGGGTCTAAAGGAGAGGGTGGAGTCCATAATAACACTGAGGTTAATGTAGGGTCTAAAGGAGAGGGTGGAGTCCATAATAACACTGAGGTTAATGTAGGGTCTAAAGGAGAGGGTGGAGTCCATAATGACGCCGAGGTTGCGTACAGAGGAGGAGGGAGTGACTGTGGCCGTCACTGTTGAGGGAGATGTTTTGAGCAGAGGGAAGGACTGACTTGGGTCCGGTGATGAGGAAGTCGGGTTAATTGCTGTTAAGTTTCAAAAAATTGTGGTCCATCCAGATTTTGATGTCAGAGATGCAGTGTGTGATGGTGCAGAGGATGACTTGATGTCAGAGATGCAGTGTGAGATGGTGCAGAGGATGACCTGACGTCAGAGATGCGGTGTGAGATGGTGCAGAGGATGACCTGACGTCAGAGATGCAGTGTGAGATGGTGCAGAGGATGACCTGACGTCAGAGATGCAGTGTGAGATGGTGCAGAGGATGACTGGGGAGATGTAGACCTGGGTGTCGTCGGCGTAGCAGTGAAAGTGTAGTCCATGGTGACGGAGGATGTGGCCAAGAGGAAGCATGTAAATGATGAAGAGGAGGGGGCCCAGTACCGAACCTTGGGGAACACCAGTGGAGAAAGGGGAGGTTTGGGATGTGCAGTTGTTAATGAAACATAATGACGACGGTCGGAGAAGTATGAAGAAAACCAGGATAGAACAGTGTTGGAGATGCCGATAGATTGAAGACGGTGGAGGAGAAGGGCGTTGGATACTTTTAGGGCTGTTTCGGTGCTGTGACGGGGACGGAAACCGGATTGGAACATTTCAAAGCGGGAGAAGGTGTGGAGGTATCGTTGGACTTGGGTGATGACTGCACGTTCTAGGATTTTTGATAGGAGGGGGAGATTTGAGATGGGGGCGGAAGCTGTCCAGGTTTTCGGGGTCCATGTTGGGTTTTTTGAGGAGTGGCTTGATGGTGGCAATTTTGAGATTTGGAGGGACAGTACCGGTGGTGAGGGAGGAGTTTATGATGTTTGTGATGAGTGGAGTCAGAGAGGGGGTGGAGTGGGGTCAGAGAGGGGGTGGAGTGGGCTCAAGGTGGCAGGTGCTGAGTTTCATGTTGGAGAGGAGCTTGGCGGTGTCGGTTGTTGAGAGCAGGGAGAAGGAGGAAAGCCTGTGATTTCTGGATAGGTCGACAGGGAAATGGGTTTCAAAGGAGAGATGGTGAGAGGAAGAGCTGTGCAGGGTACTGTGTGGATCTTAGAATGGAAGAATGAGAGGTAATTGTTGCATTTGTCTGTTGTAAATGTGGAGGTGATATTGTCAATGGGCTTGGTGAGACGGGCGAAAGTGGAAAACAGAGTGCGTGAGTGAGAGGAATTGGAGCGAATCAGCTGAGAGAAATAATCAGAACGGGCGGATTTGAGAGCGGTGTTGTAGGTGTTGGTGAAGTATTTGTTGGCTTCGGCATGAGCAGTAAGACCAGTCTTGGTGCGAAGTCTTTCAAGCTGTCGGCGTTTCTTCTTGAGGTTGTGACGGTCTGGGGTGTACCAAGGAGCAGAGGTGGAAAAGGAGACTGTGGCAGTTTTGAGGGGAGCGAACTGGTTCAGGCAGGAGGAGAGGATCTGATTATGATGGTCGACGAGTTCTGAGGTGGATGAGTCAGGACGGGGGGGAGGGGAAGAGGATAAAGTAGTAGTTACGGAGGAGGCAAATGTAGTGGGGCTGAGGGACTTTAGATTGCGGTATGTTATTTTGTGTGTTTGTTTGGGAGTTTGACTGGGTAGGGCAATATCGACGGTGACGGCTAGGTGGTCGGAGAGGGTGAGGTCTGTGTGAGTGATATTATCGATTGATAATGAGGGAGAGGAGCAGATGAGATCGAGAATATGACCATGAGAGTGAGTGGGAGAGTTTACATACTGGGTGAGGTATAGGCAGTTTAAAATGTCCAGAAAATCGGCTGTGAATTTGGAGTGTGGATTATCAACATGGATGTTGAAATCTCCAAGGAGGAGAACAGAGGGAGAGATGGAGGAGAGCTGTGTGTAGAAGTCTGTAAAGTCTGAAAGGAATGAAGTACAGGTTTTGGGGGGGCGGTATATAATGCCAACAATGGGAGATTGTGAACCAGAGAGTCTGAAGACCAGGTGTTCGAATGAGGTAGTGACAGGGATGGAGATAGGGTGAAGATTGAGGTTGTGCTGGTAGATGACTGCGATGCCTCCTCCCCGACGTTCAGGGCGGGGGGTGTCGAGGTACGAGTATCCAGGTGGTGTGGTCTGATTTAGGGTCAGGTAGTCCATGGGCTTATGCCAGGTTTCGGTTAGACAGAAGAAATCCAGTTTATTGTCAGTTATACATTCGTTTAGAATTAGGCTTTTATTATTTAGTGAGCGTGTGTTGAAGAGGGCCGCCTTGAGTGTTTTTTGTTGTGAAATTGTTGTACAAGTTGGAATTGAGCAGAGGGTGAAAGGAGTCACGTGACTGGTGCGCAGATGACGCATACGGAAGTTCCCAAGATGGCGCGTGTTGTGATCAGTCCAGAGAGAGGGGATGCCGGTTTCGGTGGAGGAATGAAGGATGTATTTGCGGCGGGAGCTTCTGTGAATGTAAGGACGACGTCGGAGAAGGCAGTGCTGCTGCATCGTGCTGATCAAGTCCAGTGTTGGAGGAGCGCTGTGGTTAAAACTGAGGAGCTGCGAGGATGTGCACCGGAGAGCCATGGACGGAGAAGTGGAGACAGCTGAGGGTGATGACAGCCCGTGCCAGGGCAGCAGAAAGGCCCGTGCCAGGTCAGCAGAAAGGCCAGTAACAGAGGCCACATTGCCGAGAGCTCACTCCGAGATTCCAGAGGCCGGTCACCTAACTGCGTACCGCGGTTTGGGCGACTCGTAGCTGGTCTGGGCGCTCTGCACGGAGGCTTGATGGTGGTCACGGCGAACCCCCCAGCGATGACAGTCAGAGACCGGGTACAATCCAGTTCGGAAAAACGGGAGCAGATAAGTTTGGCCAGTAAAAGTAGTAAGTACAACTTAATGCATTGACTAGAAGGGATCTGATTGGCTAATGGGTGGAGCAAGCAGTAGGCCAAGCAGTGGTATATTCAAAGGGGAAAAACACTAGCAGGATCTGTCACCTGGGTTACACCTATCTTATAAAATTGGGACTAAGATGACCGTCAGTAATGAATCCGGTAAGACTCCATGTATTAAAAATCCTGTAAAACAAATAGCCAGCAGAGGAAAAAGTTTCAGACTAGCGTATTTTAAATGCTCAGCTGAAACCCTGTCTGCACCACCTTATTGTTATCCAGCTTCATCACAATCTCATGGACTTCTTGAGGAGAGATAATAACATCTTCATTGTTATCAATATTGCCAACAGTAAAATAGTTACTTTTGACGGCATTAAAAATATCATAGTAATGTTTCTGCCACAGCTCAGTAATCTGCTCTGTTCCATAAACACCATTGATATGTGTTGGTAAAGACAGTTTACTGCTATTCATTCTTTTTATTTCTCTCCAGAAATCTGTGGGACTATTGCTTTGTAGTTTCCTTGCCAAGGAGTCTGCCTTGAGGCTATTCTCTCTCCTTCTAATAAATCGAAGGGCATATTTAAAGTTTGCATTTGCTTTCTTCATATACTCAAATACAGGACCACTCTTGGGTCTGTCAGATGCCACCCAAGCTTTAAAGGCCCTTCTAGCCTCAGCATGTATCTCCTCGACATACTCGTTCCAGCCTGGTATATGCAAATGTCCTCTTTAGTCAAGGTGGACCACTTAATTTTCCTAACATGTGTTTCGTTGCTCACACATACAAGAGATGGCACTTTGCCCATATTTACAGAAAAACAAAAGGGCACATGATCAAAAGTGGCAAGTTCATAGTTAATCCTAAAAGTATACTTTAGGCCTGTCGCGATATTCAATACATCAATTAATCGCATGATAATTACATTAGCTCCATAGTTTTCCTGGCCGCGATTAATTCCATTTGCAGCTTGTTTGTTCTCCGTGAACACATACTGTTGTTATATAAAGTCACCTCCGTGAACACATACTGCTGTTATATAAAGTCACCTCCGTGAACACATACTGCTGTTATATAAAGTAATCTCCGTGAACACATACTGTTGTTATATAAAGTCACCTCCGTGAACACATACTGCTGTTATATAAAGTCACCTCCGTGAACACATACTGCTGTTATATAAAGTCACCTCCGTGAACACATACTGCTGTTATATAAAGTCACCTCCGTGAACACATACTGCTGTTATATAAAGTCATCTCCGTGAACACATACTGCTGTTATATAAAGTCACCTCCGTGAACACATACTGCTGTTATATAAAGTCACCTCCGTGAACACATACTGCTGTTATATAAAGTAATCTCCGTGAACACATACTACTGTTATATAAAGTCACCTACGTGAACACATATTGCTGTTATATAAAGTCACCTACGTGAACACATACTACTGTTATATAAAGTCACCTCCGTGAACACATACTGCTGTTATATAAAGTCACCTCCCTGAACACATACTGCTGTTATATAAAGTCACCTCCGTGAACACATACTGCTGTTATATAAAGTCACCTCCGTGAACACATACTGCTGTTATATAAAGTCACCTCCGTGAACACGTACTGCTGTTATATAAGGTCACCTCCGTGAACACATACTGCTGTTATATAAAGTCACCTCCGTGAACACATACTGCTGTTATATAAAGTCACCTCCGTGAACACATACTGCTGTTATATAAAGTCACCTCCGTGAACACATACTGCTGTTATATAAAGTCACCTCCGTGAACACATACTACTGTTATATAAAGTCACCTCCGTGAACACATACTGCTGTTATATAAAGTCACCTCCGTGAACACATACTGCTGTTATATAAAGTCACCTCCGTGAACACATACTACTGTTATATAAAGTCAACTCCGTGAACACATACTGCTGTTATATAAAGTCACCGTGAACACATACTGCTGTTATATAAAGTCACCGTGAACACATACTGCTGTTATATAAAGTCACCTCCGTGAACACATACTGCTGTTATATAAAGTCACCTCCGTGAACACATACTACTGTTATATAAAGTCACCTCCGTGAACACATACTGCTGTTATATAAAGTCACCTCCGTGAACACATACTGCTGTTATATAAAGTCACCGTGAACACATACTGCTGTTATATAAAGTCACCTCCGTGAACACATACTGCTGTTATATAAAGTCACCTCCGTGAACACATACTACTGTTATATAAAGTCTCTGGACAAAGGCGCTGCAGAGCTGCATTATTGGCAAAAACTTTGTGTGGACTTTGTGTGAACTAAAGTGTGGATTTAAACAAAACCGAAGGATTTAAGAAGAAAAATAGTTCAGGATGACAAGGGACACTAACATCCCCACAAAATCCGACCTTTATGAAAGCTGTAGGTTCTCTGTCAGGTTCTCTGTCAGGTTCTCTGTCAGGTTCTCTGTCAGGTTCTCTGTCAGGTTCTCTGTCAGGTTCTCTGTCAGGTTCTCTGTCAGGTTCTCTGTCAGGTTCTCTGTCAGGTTCTCTGTCAGGTTCTCTGTCAGGTTCTCTGTCAGGTTCTCTGTCAGCTGAGGTTGAGCTGTTTTAATATGCATTGAGTCCTATGGAGAAAATGTCTGGGTAGCCCACGTGAATTTAGTCTGGTTCAGTCTGGTTCAGTCTGGTTCAGTCTGCAGTACCGCGAGAATCCTCCGAGCACATGAGTTATTCAGCTACAAGCTGTAACACCCTATCCAGGTATCATAATAGATCCATGTTCATTAGCTAGAACGGCGGAGATAGGCGTGACTCTGTCCGGTAATATTTACAGTCTATTGTATTTACAGCACTTGTATATTGTAAATAGTAAGTGTAACTCTATTTTAGTGTGTTTTTTTATTCTTGTTTTTATTATCTCTTTCTGACTGTTGCACTGAGCCAAAGCAATTTCCAAGTCTGTGACTTCCTGTTACTTACGTGGCAATAAAAATGATTCTGATTCTGATTCTGATTCTGATTCTGTGGGGGTGGACCTGGAATAAGAATTAGCCAATGCTAACATATAGCGTTAGCAGACCTCTGGAAAACGTCTTTACAGGATGGACCAAAAGTTGTCTCTTGGTCCAAAGCTCCGTTCCACATGTGTGTCAATGCTGAGTGCTCTGGACCAGTCTAGTTTAGTCGCTGTGGACTTTAGAAGTCTCTCGTTTAAATGAAAGGGTCTCGTGCAGCTGACGCATGCACAGATGCGTTTTTTCACATTTTCCAGCCCCCGCGGCCATTTTGAATCACTCCATGAGAGCCCATTTTTGGCCCAGAACGGCGGAGATAGGCGTGACTACGTCTGTTTATATTTACAGTCTATGGTATCGATATATTGGTAAATTGTCCCTTCTGTGCCACTGTATTTACTCAATGCTTATTACAAGTCGATCGATTTCACAGAATCAATTTGTTTTGTTTTGTTTTATTTCTGTACTTTTAACCTGGTTTATGTATGTACTTGTCTGGTGCACACTGGGGACTTTTGCAAATGTATTCCAATGTGGTTTTACTGTAAATGGAAAATAAAAATGAATTTGAATCTGAATCTCATGTGTCCGTGCCACTGAGATTAGTTTATAGGTATATGGGAGGATTATCCAAAATATTAGGAAAGAACCGCCCTCTCCACTTTATGATCAAAACTCTCTGGTCTTATTTGACAAACATGATTGACAATTGGGAGGACCAATAGTTTTGATGATCCACCCCGAAGTATAAAATGAATCTTCAATGAATTCAGAGCTGAAGTGGATCCGTCTCTGTCCGTGTGTAAACACTACAGCGTGTTAAGGAAGTTTCTACCCAATGAAGGAGAAAGCTCAAAGGTCCTTTGTCTGATCAAAAGCGTAAGTTTATTGTTAACACACGTGCGGAGAGCCAGCACACACACACAAAGGCAGCATGTACCAGCTCTGAGCCAGAGCCCCGAGTTTCCTGTATTACAAGACACACACGAAAGACAGTCCCGCCCACAACAGATGGGAGGGGGCCACCGGTGAAGGAGGCGCATAGGAAGCGCAGGCGTCATGCCCCTGTGGTGAGGCAATCAGACACAGGGCATGACGGTGCGAACAGACAGACAATGGTAGAAGATGCAAGCATACAGATGCGAGATGCGAAAGACACAAGGGTGTGACAGACAGCAGGGGGCCCTCACAAAGCTCAGCATGGCGTCAGAAGGGCGTCTCTGCATTGATAAAAGGCCTTTGACGTCCGTGTATTTGCTGCGGCTGGTTTTATGTAATTACTCCAAAAACTGTCACCACACTCCCCTCTTTTGATAATTCAAAACCATTTTTGCATTAATCAGTTAAATACCAGAGGCATCGTAATCACACCACCTTCAAGCTTGAAACACTTAAATTATTGCTGTCCAAAGTGGACAAGAAAAGAAACATGCTTGTCAATAAAAGAAAGAGCACATTATAATAACACAATGGATCCGGACAGCGATAAGAGAAGGCAATATTAACATAATGAACACGGTCAGCACGGAAAGTAGTGTCAGTGTGGCCAGCATAACAGTCCAAGGGCCCATGCCGGTCTTAGCCGGGCTACGTTCGGTAGTCTTTTCCGCGGGAATACTCACGAGCAGTGCCGTCTCGCAGTCAGTGGCACCGCTCCCTATGAGCGTGTGTGGAGCGTTAGTGGTCATGGCGATGTTTGGTCTTGGAGCGGCAAGACTCTAATTGCGTTGAAGCCTTGGCCTCAGCACTCGGTCTCCATGGCTTGAGCACGCTCCAGATCGGCCAGGCCCAAAGCTCGTTTGATGGGAGACCTCATGACAGCACGCTTCACCATGTGCCTCATCAGGAACTGTAGAGCAGCCCTCATCTCCACCTCCTCCGGACACACGGGAGACGAGACACCAGGGGGCACTCCAGCAGAGCTCAAATCTGCATTATGGCCAGAGGGAGCAAGCTCTGGAGAAATCTTTGGAATGGGCAGCAGCTCTGCATACTTGCTGCAGCTGAGCAGAGCGCTCAGGGCCTTCATGGCTCCCAAGCCTTGGGATCCGGGGGCTGGGAGTTGGGCAGAAGGGGGGTCGCCTCGGGAACGCTGGGATTCTCTGGGTGTTGTTGTTGGCCTGCTTCACCGACGGTGGCCGCACGCCGGCCGACTTCTTCAGCGTAGGGAGCCGCGGATGGGCCTGGTCCGTCCGCGCCCTCGGTGTCCTCGTCTATGGCCCTCAGTGGCAGCACCGCACGACAGTGGTTGGCGTGGATCCAAGTTGTCCTCTCCGCGACCTTAACGGCAGTGTCCGTCACCAGGAGGGCGAGGAATGGGCCGAGCCAGCGCTTGGACCGCCAGTGCTTTCGTCTCGTTTCCTTCACCAGGACCCAGTCGCCTGCGCAGCCTGTGGCAGGGCGCTCCTGACCTGGGCAGAAATAGAGGACAAAAGTGCATTAATTTCCTTACAATAGGACAGCATGTCGTCATCACACAAAGTGGTGCTTGGCAGATCTCTGTTCGGGGGTCCCGCGCCCAACGTGGGGCTAGCGGCAGAGCTTTGAGTGCCATTCTCTCGCTCGCACGTGCCTCCGGACCAGGGGGCGTAACTGCAGTGTTTACGTATATCAATGCCCAGAAATTCACCCACTTCCTCAATGACTTTTGCTACAAAGTGACTGCCATTGTCCCTAGAGATTTTCCCTCGGGACACCCCATCGTGGCACAATTTCTGTGAGCAGAGCTTTCACCACCGCGTTGCTCGTGGCGTGTATGCCTGCAAATATTCAGTCCATTTGGACCAGAGATCCGCCAGGCCCAGACAATATTACTTACCTTGGCATGGTGTGAGTTCAACAAAGTCCCTTTGGACATGTTGAAATGGGCGCAGGGGCGGAGGATGAGCAGCCTGTTGGATACTTTTGGGACTTACCTGGGTTGTGCGCGAGGCATGTAGCGCATGTTTGGCAGAATCTCTGTGCAAATGCCGTAAACCCCTTTGTATACCAATTTTGTGTGATTAAATCACGCATCATCCCTCCTTTTGAGGCATGGTCTCGACCATGTGCTAAAATTGCAAACTGTCTGAAGAAATGCCGTGGTAGGCACGGTTTGCTGTCTGGTCCCAGCCACACACACCATGCCGTCGTTGAGCCCCATTCCCCTCCCACAGCAGCGTCTCTGCTGGAGTAGAAAATATCAACGTCTTGAGTGAGGTAGTGTGTGTGTGTGTGTAGAGGTGCGTATGCCGCTGCCTTGTCCGCGCGCCGATTCCCTGCAGAGATGGGATCAGTGGCATTAGTGTGGGCCTGGCATTTGCGTACATCGATCTCTAAGGGCAACATTACAGCTTTCAGCAGACGTTCAACCTGTGTGGAATTAAGAATTGGTTTACCATCAGATCACAGAATAGGTTAACAGTTTTGCCCGCTGCCAGCTCACAAGCCCTGGTGAGCGCGACCAGTTCAGCGGTTTGTGCTGAATGATGGTGGGGCAAACTACCAGAGTCTATAGTATCAAAATCAGAACACACAGCATAGCCGACTCGGTTCTTCCCAGTGTTGTCACGTGACGCGGCTCCGTCTGTATAAAAAAAATCAAGTCAGGATTAGTCAGAGGCACCTCTTTCAGGTCTGGCCTGGGAGTGCATCTCTGTTCTATTGTGGCGATACAGCAGTGTGCCTCCCCTTCCTCTGGCGTGGGCAGCAGTGAGGAGGGGTTCAGCTGTGTGCATCTTTTCACCGTGACATTGGGGAGTTCAAAGAGCACCGTGTTGTATTTCAGCCAACGAGCCGCAGAAAGGTGAGAGGCCCTCTGCTCTAACAGGATCAGGGAAACAGCATGGGGCACAAGCAAAGTTAGTTCAGTGTATCCCACAAGGTCACGTGATGCTAGGGCCGCTTTCTCAGCGGCAGCCACAGCCCGCAGGCAGCGAGGCAACCCTGCTGCCACGGGATCGAGTTTTGCTGAGAAGTAAGCAGTGGGTTCATGGCCTCCGTGGCTCAGTGGCCCTCAGTGAGGCTGCAAAAGTACCGACTGTTCCGTTCATCTCCAGTTGCTTTTCTCCCGGATCGTCCTCAATTCATATTGTGGGCTTTGGTGCCAAAGTGGAGGCTCATTTCCTCCTGATCCATACTACTGTCATCCCTGGAGCAGGGGTAGTTTATCTCTCATCTGAAAAAGAAATATCAGAACACAAAAAACACAAAAAAAAATGCCCACTTTCGCTTGTCAATCTTTTTTCCAATTGGGCAAAACATAACTGCATTGACAGGTGGTGTGTGGCATCAGGGCGGAGGCTGTAGCCAAATACAGACTTAACAAAATGTATGTTTCTAATTTTATACTCCCCTAAATGTGAGTTTACAAACCAAAGTTGTCCTCCGCCCAACGACAGCTCACTGCGGTTGGACCGAATCACTGTCAGGGCAAACAGCAGAGGGAGGAACTCCCAGTACCTTCAGCAAGGTATTTCATCTCCGAGTACTTTCCGCAGAGTACTTTTCTCAGAGTACTCATCCCAGAGTACTCTCACTTTTACACCTGTTCAATAAAGGTCGTTATCTTTGAATCTCTAGTACTTACACCGTATGCTGTTGACAAAAAAAATAATTATTCCATGATCACATTAAAACATTACAGACACATTTGTTATTCCATGATTCCGTTCAGCATTCCTCATTTCACATCCACACTCACATCACACTCATATCACAGTCACATCACAGGCCGATTCCCCACGTTAGTATTGGTCCAGAGTTTGTTAAGGTCAGCGTAGTGTACTTTGACATGACACACAAACATATAACATACACAAAACATATAACACACACAAACATGTAACACACACAGAAGGCCTGTAATTTTAACTTTGTTATATTTTCCATGTCCAATTACAATTGTCTCATGAGCTCTTCCTATTGTTGCAACTTTCAGAGCCTGCAGAACATGCAAAGCTTTTTAAGAGATTTTTCCTAAAAAAAAAAAAAAAAATCCATTTCCAACTTTAGTGTTTACCACGTGGTCTGTATTTCGGGCTTATCACAGATTGTGTCCCCTATATCTCTAATGAGCTCTTGTCACCTAAAAAATGTTTATTTTCCTTATTTTTTCTTTTTCAATAAAGCCAGGTCGGGTTCATTAAAAATGTAAATTAGTCTCAAACTTTAATACTTCACCTTTGTTTCACGATAAAAATGTTTTTGTTGCTCATTAAGTAGCACAAATACCATAGCGTGGTGCCTATCCCAATAAACATACTCCGTTTGTAGCCTATCTTCACTACACTGAAGCCATGAATTTTCAAACTCTAAGTTATTGTCTGGGAACGACCGGAGAGAGCAGCTTAGGTCGTTCGCGTGGTTGACCTCCAAATTTTGTGCGGGCGTAACTCTATCCACTGTCGTGGCTAATAACTTAGCAATCTCAGGGTTTGGTGTCAATTTCCAGTGGTAATTAACTTTTGGGACCGGTGCCTCCTTTTATTTATCTATTTTTAATTGAGTCTGCACATAAGGTCTCGGCCTAGTAGATTAACCGGGCACAATGGGGAATATAGAAAAGAATGTTTAAGCTGGTTGCCCTGAGAATCAAAACACGTTAGCGGTGACGTAAATTGCTCTTTGGTCGTCTCTCCCCCCCCGCTGCTAATGAGAATGTGAAACGGCCACTCATTTTAGGGGAGACAGAAAGGCTGTCACTTTTAGCACAGAATTTGTTGCCCCGGAGTCATCCAGAATTTTAACTTGTACACCACAGATTGTTAGCGTATATTACGGGCATGAATTATCTCTAAAAAGTGCCAATTGCAATTTGTTGTTGTTCAACTTACATGAGCGGTCGCTTTGGTGACGAATGTGAACCCGGGTTTGGTCAGTCGCTCGTGTTTCCTCCACGCCCGCCTCTGCCGTCCTCTGGCCCCGTGTGAGCCTCTGCCTTTAACGCCTCCTCCGGTAACAGTCCTTCGACCCATGTCGAGCACACAGTCTTTCCGCCGGGCTGTGGAAGTTTTTCAAAGTCCGCAGGAGGCCCAGGTAGCCCAAAGCGTTAGCATGTGGTCCATGAGGGTTGGTGAATAACCCAAACGTGCCGGTCACAATGGCTTCTTCTGTTTGCGGTGCGGGAACAACTTTCAAGGGGGTTTCCGCGGGTGCGTTTGGTATATCACGCTGCCCCCTCCGTGGAGAACAGTCACGGGATTTGGAGCAGTTTCTCTCTGTGCTCCAAAGCAGTTGTCGGTGTCTCACATATTTGCTTCCCCCGCTTCTTCTTCTGCGGTTTCCTGAGCGTGTGTCTGTTTCCGCCTCTTCTTCTTCTGCGGTTTGGGCCCACTTCTCGCGGGGTCTCAGCTGGTGCGGGCGCCGCCTGTGGTTGGGGCGTGGGGCTGGTGCTTTGAGGCAGAGGAAAAGCGCCGACAGACCTGGATAAGGGAGAGGGAAAAGAGACAACAGTAGTCTGCTTCATTTTTTAAAAACCCAACGCCTTGTTTGGGTGCACACTTATTGTTAGTAGGGGAAAAAGGGCGGTAGGGTGGGGGTGTGGGGGTGTGGGGGTGTGTGTGTGTGTGTCCGCCTGTGTGTTCTCCGCTTCGGTGAAAAGCGGAGGAGCTATTGTTTTTACATATTTCTTTCTCTAACCTCTTTTGCCGTGATATTCTTAAAACCAAGTATATTTTTTCTTCCCTTCTTCTTCTAAATTATCACGCAGATGACCTGCACCATAGGCAAGCACTTCATAGCTTGCATCTGTAGATTGATTTTACCCATTTTCTCGTACGAACAATGGGCCTAACCCGCTTAGTCTCTTCCCTGCTCCTACCCACTTTGGGGCGCTCCGTTCCCCCCCCGCTGGTTCAACCAGCGAGCGCGCGTTCTTGAAAACGGAGCGGTTCTGGCTGAAGACACTTAGAGAAATTATCAGGGTCGCCTACAGGACGATACTAACGCGCAGCCGCTAGCTTCAATCTAGAACAAAAGCCCCCAAAAAATCCCGCACACAGACTATGCTGTGGCAATGAATGAAATACCCCAAAAATACATAAATAAACAAATCCCCGTGTCGACTTAAGGGCTGCCCTGGGCTCGTTACGCAGATGAAAAGACAAGACTCACCAGATTAGGTTCTTTTTGGTCTTGTGTGGCAAAAGATTCCTTCCGTGCGCGGGACGAGCGCGCCCTCCTTTGTCTCCAAAAAGGAACAGAGGCTGGTGATCCAGGTCGGCCAAACAAAGCCGCTCGTCCCCGCCGAAAGTATCCATGCCAAGACATGTCAGCAACGCCAAATTGTTGTAGAATTATATACCCCATGAAGGAGAAAACTCAAAGGTCCTTTGTCTGATCAAAAGCGTAAGTTTATTGTTAACGCACGTGCGGAGAGCCAGCACATCCACTCAAAGGCAGCATGTCCCAGCTCTGGCGCCAGAGCCCCGAGCTTCCTGTATACAAGACACACACGAAAGCCAGTCCCGCCCACAACAGATGGGAGGGGGGGCCACCGGTGCAGGAGGCGCATAGGGATGCAAACAGACTGCAGGATGTAGGAAGTGCACACATACAGACCGATACATATGCAAGAGGTGAAAGGGGGCAAGAGTGATCGCCATTGTCTGTAGGTGTCGGGGGGGGCCCGGCTCCTTCCTGGCAGCAGGGACATATGGATAGGAGCAGGCATACCGATTCAAGATACGAAAGACACAAGGGTGTGACAGACAGCAGGGGGCCCTCACAAAGCTCAGCATGGCGTCAGAAGGGCGTCTCTGCATTGATAAAAGGCCTTTGACGTCCGTGTATTTGCTGCGGCTGGTTTTATGTAATTACTCCAAAAACTGTCACCACAACAGTTACACATACAGTTACACACAGTTACACACACAGTTACACATTTACACACACAGTTACACACACAGTTACACACACAGTTACACACACAGTTACACAGTTACATACACAGTTACACACACAGTTACACACACAGTTACACACACAGTTACACACACAGTTACACACACAGTTACACACACAGTTACACACACAGTTACACACACACAGTTACACACACAGTTACACACACAGTTATACACACAGTTACACACACAGTTACACACACAGTTACACACACAGTTACACACACAGTTACACACACAGTCACACAGTTACACACATAGTTACACACACAGTTACACACACAGTTACACACACAGTTACACACACAGTTACACACACAGTTACACACAGTTACACACACATACACGTTTTTGTTACCTGGTGGGTCCCTTTGACAGGGCCGTTCAGAATGGGACCCATAGACATAATCTTTTTTTACTGGGACTACTTTAAGTAATACAAAACAGTCAATAGAAACCAAACAACTATTTTAAAGGAATTTTATTTTAGATTTTTTTTTCGAATTGCAGTGATTCTATTTTTGACATAGAATTTAATGCCACTCCATGTCCGATGTCTAAGGTCATCTGGTGAGGCATTAATGCAGGCCAGGCAGTGAGACTTCCCAGGGACCTTTCCAGTCTGTATGAAAGGTGTCATGGTCTTCTCCACAGCCTTCACCTCAGATGCAGACCATGGCTTTCTTACACGTTCTAGGGAGAGAAATAAAAATATATTAGCAATATACACTCCCAGGGTTAGGACCAAGCAGCCTGGCTGTAATCCCCTACCTGGTACACTTACCAGAAGGGGCACTGCCACTACCATGGGGTGCATCTGGATGAATGGTTGAAGGTTCTCCGCTTGAAGTTTCTTTTAGCCCGTCCGTTTGTGAGAGGATCTCTACTGCTCTCCCTGTCGCACAGAAAATAAAAATACAAGTGGCCTTTAGGGGAAAAAAATCATACATATTTTAATAATATCAAGAATTACCTTCAGGCTCAATTTGTATCTGGTCGAGGCTCTTTCCTTCGAATTCCGTCACTCTTCCCTGCTCCATGGCCATCAACACTTTTGCTGATTTTGGCCAGCTCCAGTGTCCCCTCTGGTAGTCTGTAATATTGCCTGTGGATGCGAATGTCATGGCCGAGGAAGTTGGCAAGTATGTCCATCTCATTCTCTTTCATATTGAGAACTGTAGACATAGTAGCTATGTGCTTTCTAAGTTTGGTTGAGGATAGCATCTCTGGATGCACCGCACCACATTCTTTGGCTACCTGGCGTAGGGAGTCTGATCCCCTGATGTGGGTGTCTGCGCCCCGGGCGGGAAAAGAAGTATGGGTTATGGTCAGAGATGGAACAGGCCCTTCTGTTCTCCACCAGCACCTCCATCGAAGCAATCATTTCAGGAGTCAAAAGAACCGGCACTTTCCGACTTCTTTTCCCTTTAATTTCAATGCGTTGAAAATGCTGACACAGCTTTTTCTCAAGTTGGGACAGTCCCAGAGCAATGTCAGAATGGATCCCAGTCTTACTTCTTAAGGTAAAGGCTGTCAGTGGCATCTTTGAAACCTCACCTTCCCTTCTTCGATTGAAAATAATGACCTCACAAAGAGTCAAAACTGCCAGTTTAGACCAATGCTTAGACGTTGGCTCACTTATTAGGGTTTGCACATATTCAGGTCGACATACCTCAATATGTGCATGCATGGCTCTAACGTCCTCAGTCAGAGGGAGCAGGTCCGGAGTGTTCCACTTGGCTTGCCGGAGGGTCTGTAGGGCAGCAGAAGAAACACAGACGTCCCACCTCTTCTCAAAAAGCAGCCGGCTTCGTTGGAGGTTTTTAATAAATAGTTCATCAACACAATGCTCCATTTTTGAGTCACATTCAAGAATATCTGCTAGCTTTCTGAGGCTATGGCCGAGTTTGAGGGCCAAGGATGGAGTCTTGTATTGATTTGTTTCCTCATCATATCCAGCCACAGACCTGACTGCATCAATCACATGGTTAAAGTTGGAAGGAATAAAGAAATCCTTAATTGTTTTCAGTTTCCCTGCAGTTTTTGCTTCGTTAATTAACCTACCGACTTCTCTCATTTTCTGCCTAATGTAATCATGCTTAGTCTTATCATGCCCGTGTTTTAAGTACAGGTGCTCTCCGAGTCTCAGAATCCCCTTTTCTGCTTTGACAACACCCGTGACCTCATCCTGATGCATTACCGAAATTAAAGACCACAGCTTTTTGCTGATGCCCTCCGGTACAGGCTGGGCTAGGGAGCAGAGGGACTGGACCCTACTTCTACCTGGTTTAGCCTGGGCATCTTTCTGTGAAAGCCGGCACCTGGCCACATGCCTCCACAGCGACTTTCGCTTAAGCAATGCCCCACAGTCTATACAGTGCAAAAACTCACTGGATTTAACTGGGGAATTTGGCCGTTTAACTGGGACTAAAGTTCCAATGCCGGTCTTTAAAACCTCAAAATTGTGCTCACGGTTTCCACTATTCCTGATCGAATCAAACTGAAGTTTACGTGCTTTAGATTTCACAGGTAGAGCCAATGCTCTGGCTACGTCACTTTCATTTCCATGTTTTCTAGTCAAATGACGGGACATTTTGTGGCAGGACATTGAACAGTAGAGGCAGAAGTGTCTCTTGCTATAAACTCGCCCCCCATTTTTCTTCTTTTGCAGCTGCATGATAACAATCTTATTTGCCTTTGGTTCGTCACTTTCCGAGTCTTGAAGAAAAGTGTTTTTGATTTTTCTTTTTCCATACTTTTTTACAGGTTTCTTCTTGACAGTTAAATCGTCAGAATCTGAGTCGACTTCATCAATTAGGGACTCTTGACTAAGCTGCACAAACAACAAATAATTTGTAATCATTCTATATAACAATTTGAAGTCATGACTTGTAGTCAGCACTTACCAGTGGTTTGTAAGCGTGCGCTTCAGTGTGCTCCTCCATGATTTCTTGCAGCCTAATGAACCACACACTTGCACCTTTTCTAGCCTGACACCTGATTTCCTCTGTTGTGCTGCTCCATGATTGGCTCCAGCCTGCTGGACTGAAATTGCCCCAGTGTGCCCCTCCTTGATATCCCGCAACCCACCACCAGGGTTCCGACACATAACACACTTTTTTCAGGAAAGTAAACCTCCAGGGGTCCTTTCCATATTTTTACAGAGACTGCATAAGGACCGTTAGAAAAGCATTACCCATTGATTATTAAGCTTGGACCAGTGGGGTCCGGTGTTCGGGCCCCACCACGTAAAACCAGTCCCCATGACGTGAGTGGAATCTCAGGTTATGGAACCCACCAGGAGTTGAAAACAAGTGCACACAGTTACACACACAGTTACACACACAGTTACACACACAGTTACACACATAGTGTAACTGTTGGTATGAAAAGTTTGTTGTTTCGTCACAAGGCGGCGCTAGTGTGCATTTATTATTGCCAAAGTTTATTTGATTTTGTACATTTTTATATTTGTGTTCTGACTATTAGGTTAGTATTGGTTACATTTGAGGAAGGATAATAATTCATTTAGATTAATATTTCAAATGTATACTTAATGCCTTTGAGGTCACTACTTCCGGTTTGCCGATAGGTTTAGTGGAACAAGTCAAGTTAGCGGAGATAGACGGACCCGACAAAGTCGTAGTGAAGTCATAACAAGTCATAACAATTAGACATTATAAGCTATAGTCCACCGGGTTGTTCGCCAGCAGGCCAAAGTGGTGTGTATGATTGTATATTAATTCATATTTTTGTTTATTATTTAATATCTAAGTTGTACCATTTTGTGTTTTGTTGCTAGTTCTACGGTGTGAACTGTATAAAGAAAGTGCAGTAAACATTTGTAAAAAGAACTCTCACGCCTCTCTGTGCGTTCGCGAATCAAGCCGGCATAGTAGAACACTACACTGCCCCGGAGAAGGCAACAAGACGTCGGGGACCGAAGCTACAAGCAAGCTAACATTGCTACACGTGCAAGGGACGTATCACGTGCTGCAATGAAGCACAGCAACATCAAGATAAAGTGACAGTGAAAGCTAAAAAAGCAAGCGCTCAAGTTTGTGTCTTGGAATTGGCATAAGCACTTATAACTGCATCTTTGATTGTTGCTGATTGAATAACAAAGAAATAAGCTTCAATATACTGCTAAAATGGCAGACGAAGATAAAATACCCACCGAAGAAAATAGTGCAGAGCTTATTGCACCAAATGGTGATGAAAATCAAGAAAATGGAGAAGAAACTCCACAGCCCTCACCATCTGATGCTACACATCCAGAAGAGGTTCGTAAAAGCCAGCGAACACGCACGCTCACTGAAAAAGGAAAAGTTCTACAAGACTCCAAAATAAATGATTTAAAAAGGGATTTTGAACGTCTGTATAAGAAGTGGAAATATCACATAAACTGCTTCAGAAGATTTATGAAGGGTAAAGACACGGAATTGATCACTGAAGCTGTGAGTGCGATAGACACATTTCAGTCAGACATTTGCAAAACTTATGACGAAATAAGAAAGATTGAAAACCCTGATATTGAAATAAGAAGGAAAACTGATTTGTCCTTTTCCATGACTGAAGTTGCCAAAGCCAAAGCTCAATGCCTACTTGAACTAAAGACTAATCCAGATGAATGTCCCTGGCCAGACTCTGGGTCAGTGTTTGAAACAACTTCAAGGAGTGTCTCCTCAGGGTCGACCTTCAAGTCGAAAGCATCGTCTGATGTGTCCAAGCAGTCATCATTACATACATTACAACAAAGACAACAAGCAGAGGCGGATGTAGCTGCATCAGAAGAAGTAATGAAAGTCATGAAAACACAACATCAATGTGAGGAGCAAATAAGAGAACTTGAAGTAGAGGACGCAAAGAAAAGAGCACAGTTCCTGACAGAGAGCATAACAATAAAAACAAAGTTAGAGGAAAAGAGAAAAGAAGTGGAACTATTAAAGGAGATGCAAAAGCATAATGCAGCCCAAGCAAGATTAAAAGTTTATGCTGAAAGTATAGATTGTGAAGAAGAAAAGCTTCATATTTTGAAGGACAATTTCCCATTACCATCAAGATTTCCAAATGTACATTCTCAACCGTTCTCTCCCTCAAAGGTAGCAATCACCACAAGCCACCAAGCTCCTCTGCAAAAGACTGTGACTCAAGCAGCTCCTTCATCAGAACAAGTCGCCTCCATTGATCTGGTAAAAACACTCGCTGAAGCCATAACAGCTAACAGAATCCCAATCCCAGAGCCTGCAGTCTTCACAGGTGATCCACTGCAGTATAACGATTGGAAGCTGTCATTTCAGACATTAGTTGACCGTAAAAACCTGCCAATACATGAAAAGCTGTTTTATTTGAAAAGGTATGTTGGAGGTTCAGCAAAACGGGCTATTGAAGGACACTTCCTGGTTGGTACAGACTCAGCTTATCTTGCCGCATGGGAACTACTTGAAGATAGATTTGGAAATCCATTTGTTATTGGCAAATCATATCGTGACAAGATACAGTTGTGGCCAAAAATCAACATGAAAGACAGTAAAGAATTACGTGAGTTTGCAGACTTCTTAAGCAGTGTCGAGTCAGCAATGCCTTACGTGCAAGGTTTACAAGTTCTCAATGATTGTGTTGAGAACATGAGAATAGCCGCAAAGTTACCAGACTGGCTAAGTGCACGCTGGAACCGTATGGTGACAGAGTTTCAAGATGATTACAAAACGTTTCCAGATTTTTGCTATTTTGTCAAATTCCTAAATAAAGAAGCACGCATTGCCTGTAATCCAATCACTTCACTGCAAGCGATAAAGCCAGCTGAACAAGATTATAAACATTTCCTTAAAGACAAACCCAAAAGAAGTCCTGCTCTGAATGTTAAAACACTGAGCACAAATACCAATGAAAAGACTGGCATGTTTTGTCTCTTCTGTAAAAAGGCTGGTCACACACTGCATAAATGTCGAAAGTTTATGGAAAAAACACTCGAACAGAGAGTTAAGTTTGTGCAGTCTGATAAGTTGTGTTTTGGCTGCCTCAAGTCCGGCCATAACTCAAAGAA